TCCTCAGAGTGGGGTTACAAGGTTCTAGCATTCCCTGAATACTCAGAATCATCTCTTGGGAGGATAGGTGATGAGCTCCCTGGGTGAAACGATACCAGAGCAGCAGAGATGAGTCTTGAAACTTACACTTGATTCATACTTTAGTTGCAGGAAATAGTACTGTGGTTGTAATTGTACTTAACTGCTGTGATATTTAAGTAAGAGTTGCAACAAATAAACTTAAAAACTCTTAAATGTCCATTATTGTCTGCTTTAACAGAGGCTAACATTTTTCTCCATGCTGGACCAATCTGTACAGTACATTTCCTCTACTGACTCTTGATCAGACAGAAAAACAGTGTCTCTGTACATTAAAGCCAACATACCAGTGTTTTACTGATTCTGGAGTTCCTTTAAATTGACTCGTATTGACCATTTCTCATCCAATTTCCCGATCACAAGAACTTCTCCAATAAATGACAGCCGCAATTTACTTGACCATTAGAGGTCTTTGTCAGTGCAATATAAACATAGGTCAATTATAGGTCATGGGTCACACAGAATCAGACTGGGATCAAACCACCGACCTTCAGGTTAGAGGACTATAACCAGCATTACCTCCTGAGCCACAGCTGTCCTGACTGTATAGCCATTTTCAGACGTGACCTCTGGAGGAACTCCGGAGAATTGGGTGTGGACTTTCTCTGGAGTATGCTTTTTGGTTGTTGGTTTTTTTTTTGCCTTTTTGCATCTGTTGATTGTTAGAAACATTATCAACACACCCACTCACTCACAGTGCATCCAGCAGAGGATCTCCTACTGTGGTCTCTTATTTGCTCCTCTAGACTCTCTGCCAGGTGGAGAATGTTCACAGAAACTCTGGAGGCTCTCACTCGGACATTTGCGTTAACTAGGATCTCAGGAGTTCTGTGCATGTCTGAAAGCAGCTTATGTGGTTTGCATAGCTCCAGAACCCTTCAACTTATTGGCTTCACTCTTGACATGTGTGTTGTTAAGAGCCCAATTAAGTGAAGTGCTGAAATTCAAGAGTGACATCACAAACATTATACATATAGGGCTATGAAAACTCACGCTTTTGGCAAGGTTGCTGATACTTTCTGTGCCAAGTAGGCTTTAAGTACCTAACCAAGCCGGACAGAGTCCTTCTCCTAAACAGAATGACCTAAGAATGAGCGCAATTAGTCTGCTAAAAAATTACACACTGCTCCCCTTATGAGAAATTCTGACAGCTGCCCACCATAAGGAAGGGCTTCAGGCCTTCTTTCCTCTTGCTGCTTTAAACCAGTGAGGTGAAAAGTGGTACAGATTACATCTTGTAAAAAAAAACGCGTGGTTTGGCTGTACTTTGATCTAGACGATGAGAATAAGGTTGGATGTAGAATATTTCAGAATAATAAAACCACTCAAGCAGAGCAAAGCGTAAATACATTCAGCACAGGAATGTGGACATTAACCTGTAAGGAAAGAAAGCTGCTGTTGGAAGCACTGTAATGTTTGCCATACTCGACAAACCAATTTGACACTGTTTACCACTGTGTTTTCCGCGGCGTTTCCTGTGCTTGAGTAGCCCAGCCGGAGCACAGACATAAATCCCATAGAACATCTGTGCAGAGACCTGAACATTACAGCTGACAGACACTTCCCTTCCAATCTGGTGAAGCCTGGCAAAGCTTGAGAGGATATGCCAGCAAGAACAGGAAAACCTGCCTCAATCCAGGTGAACAAAGCATCTGGACACAGCATACATAACTGTGTAAATGCAAAACAATTTTTTGAAAATTTGAGAGATCTATTAAAAAAAAACACAAACTTGTTTTCAATTTGTAATTTTGGGTCATTTGACTTTAAATCAGCTCCAGCTCATCAGAACATACCCTCTCAAGAAATAATCCCACCAAGTTTGGAGAAAATCAGTGATACAACACAATGATATCAGAAGATGATTAAGACATTCTGTAGTGAAACATACTTTCCAGTGTCAGAGAGCTCTGTCTAAATTGCAGGTCATGGCTCCTCCAACAAGATGATGCCAAAAAAACTGCTAAAAGCAGCTGACAATTGATCATTAAACACTGGTCCATTCTGAATTTGCATACAACACACACACATATATATATGTACTGGTATATGAAAAGATCTCTGTATTGGCTAATACTCAAAGCCCAGGTATCACTATCAGTGTTGGGACTGAAATGGTCAGACTGGTGCATGCAGCGCTGCATCACTCAACAACTATATCACAACTGAGAACAGTAAACGTCTGCTATTACCCCACCGAATAGAAGCATCCGAGGCACCAGGAACAAGTGGAGAATCATTTACTGCACAACCTCATCTGAATGCACACTCTTCACCCCATTTATCCTCAGCACCGCTGCCAGAAAGACTAGATTAACATGCAGCGGAGCAGGGGGAGGGGAAATTGGGTATATGGATTGTGTTTGAATTCGTTTGAAAAATGTACATGCCAGTTCAAATCCAATCAAATCTGATTTTTTTTGACAAAGTGACAGCGCTACTGTGTGCAGAGCATGCCTGGCTGACTGATATGCAGGTATAAGGACAGGGGCTGTGACTGGATAAAGTTACATATATAAGCTGGACCATATGGAGATAGGTTTCTCACAGGCAACCCATAATACATTAGGGTTGAGATGCATCTCTATTTTCCCACTTAAAGAGTCACTAGGTCTGACGTAGTTAGCTCCAATGAACGGACATCACATTCAAAAACATTTTCTTTTCATCATAATAACATCCAGCAGCTGCCTGGAGAAGAGAATTCAACAAAATGGCAATAAAAAGGTCAAAAAGTCTGCTGTGGCTGGCAGCCAATAAAAACTTTACTCTGAGCTTCAAGACATCTTGGCTACTCACCGTGCACAACCCTGACATCAATGTGTGCCTCTGTCTGCTTGTATGTGTGGGTGTGTGTGTGTCTGGACAAATACAGACAGCCTGATCACACTCCGAGTCAGTCTTCAGATCAAAGACACAGCGAGCATGTGCACGTGGCAGAGTGGCTACCAGCTCAGAAACTGAAGAATTGGCAAACCGATATCTGGCACGCTCTGTGCCGCTAATAACATTTCTAAGACCTCTAAATAGTCCCACATGACAGCCCACAGAGCCTTCATGTTTCTGACTGAATTCCAGGAAAGACTTCAACTGTGGATTTAGAGGTTAACACTACACCTGTCTACACAGAGACAGTTTGGACAAATCCTACACTTGCAACAGTCACAAACTGGGATTATTCAATTTAAGTCAATCAGTCTAATGAAACTATCCAACTGTCCCAGTCCCACAGAAAGTGTTCAAACCTAAATATCTTATAACTACAAAGCTGTTTTATTGCCACTGAATGCTTATTTGACTTTCCACCATCATCGTGTTACTCGCAATAACACTGCCTCAACAGGTGGTGTCAACGAACCAGTCTTTAAAACCTCATGAGTGATTAGAATTTTAATTTTCTCTAATCATGACACTGCTTTCATTTTTTGACTAGACAATCAAAAAACGCAATGCAGGCCGAGACAGCACTATATTTTTGATGCTGATACTCATCTATGATGTTGAACTCAACACATATTGACCCAGAAATGTAGTGAGTAGGACATTATACAGAGCAAAAATAAACTTGTCAGTGCTCTCTGGTGGACGAATTATGAAATGGAGGTACACCTTTTCTAAATTAACTCAAACATGACATTTGTTGTCTTTAGAACACGATATACCAATAACATACCATACTGGACAGAAAAGGTGCTATTACTAACAAAAACTGAAAACAAATATACAGTTATGTTGTGCGGTGGTTCATTGAGATTTCAATGTTAAAGATTCAAAGCTGCAGTATGGTTGACATTGCCTAATTTCCCATTATGTGCCTACAGTACATTACTCTGCCAGAGTCGTTCATTGTAAGTATACAATATGTAATACATGTACTGAGAAGTAGTTTACACCTGAACACTGGGACACAGCTAATTTTACTGAGGACACTGAATGCAACCCAGCGGGCCCTAGTCTGGACAGGTTGTGAGCGACTTCAGGTTTTACTGCTTAACTTCTGTCCTCACTGACTCACACTGTCCACAGCAGGACAATAATGTTGTCATTCACTGTAGGTTAGCCGAGAGCTCAGACTGTCACTGAGGATTTGTGGAGGAAATAAAGGAGCAGAGTCTGCAGCAGGATCTGGCTTCAAGACTGTTTCTGCTGCAGAGTCCAGCACTCAGGCTGAAGCCCTACCTCCACACTCACTTTACATAAGAGCATTGTCAAATGCCTCAGCTAATGTGGAACTTATCATGGTGGGGAAATTCACAGTTTCTTAAACAATTGGATGACCATAAAAGATTTGAACAAGGGACTTTTGCTGAACCCTGTCACATAGAAAGTATATAAAAGTACTGAAAGTTTCTTCTTTGCCTTGAAACTATTACTTTGGCAAAATTAAACTCTTAAATCTCAGCTGCTTTTCCAGAGCTTACAGCCACTTCTGTTAAATGCAGTTGAGAACTGCACAATAAGTCAGTATGCAGAACTTGAGCTAAAGGTCTTTTGTCAAACCCAGTTTCCTTTTTGTTTCCTCTAGAAGTTTTTATGTTTTTTTTATGCTGCTACATTTCAGACTGGAAAATAGTGAGCATGTGTGTGCATCATTTTCAACACATTTCCCCAGATTGCCGCCAGACACATTTATCTTTGGAAACAGGATCTCCACAAGCTTTTGAAATCAAGTTCTGAGGATTTTGGCTTGACAGCGTGACTTTGAACCGACCGACCCACTGGCAGGTCTGTTGGTTTTAAGAGATTAACTACAATGACATATGAGACAGGAGCTAATAATCGTGCTTAGAGGTACTTCATCAGGATGGCTGCGTGGACACTAGACCAAGCTGCAGTGATCCAACAAGCCTTCTCACAGCGTGGCTGAATGAAAAGACATGAAAGCTATCGGCAGTGCAAGAAAGAAATGAAGATGGATTTACTAGACCGCCACAGGTGCTTAAAGATGCCAGGGAATCCGTGTGGTTGACGATGGAGCCAGAGTAAAAGCAGAGCTGGTTCGTGGGCAGGCTTCGGACCGCTGCGCTCTGGTCCCTGCGCCGCTCCTCCACCACGAAGTCCCCCGAGAGAAACGTACTATCCCGCGTTAGATTCAAATACAGGTCCCTTCCAAAAGCGGGCAGTGTCACGATGATGTAGTCCGGGTCAGGGTGTCCTCCCCCCGGGGCGTCCACGGAGCGCTGACCCCGGCGCCGCTGAGCGCGGGCGGTGTGGTGGGTGGACAGGTGCGCCTCCTGGCCGGACAGCAGCCTGGGAACCACTTCATCCGTCTCCAGCTCAGACTGGACTGTGGGGAGAGACACTTTCCATCAGACAGCGGCCACGATGGGTAAAAAACCAGCCCTGACTCAATGAACTGACTGAACTGTCTGTGCTAATGCTCCGTGAATCCTGCAGCCACGTTCAACTTCCCTGCTCCACTAGCGGTTTGCAAGGATCTGCAGCCTGTGACTATTAGGAGCAGTATGCAAGTTATTACACTGCAGTGATCACTCGATGAAGCATATGTCTAAGGAGGGAATCGAACAAAGAAGCACAGTCGACCTCACACAGCTGATCTTAGTCACACTTTCAGCTGCTTAACAGAGGAAAGTGGTGGTTCTGGTTGACCTATATCTAAGAGAAGCAGACACCGTCAGTACTCACCAGTGAGCCCGATGCACAGCAGAGAGACGAGCAGAGGGCTGACATGGCTGGAGTGCATGGTGGAGCACAGCAGGCTGCAGCAGCTGGAGAGGCGTGTGGTGTGGTCGTGCGGGGACAGGAGCCGCTACACGTACCGCTCCGCGCAATCCTTCCAAAGTTGGAGAAGTTGGAGTAATTAAGGCTGGAGTGACTTCGGCGCACAGGACACGCCCACACAGCGTGGACCGACCTCTGCTGGTGTCACATTGGCCCCGTTACGCTCAGACCGAGAAATCTCTGCCTTCTCATTGGGCAGCGAAGGCGTCTGTCACCGCCGGGGGTTGAAACCCTACACGTGGTTTTGAGTTAAGGAAAAAAAAGAGCAGAGAGCTGGCTTGCACGCGCGCACGCGCGCGCGCGTGTGTCTTTGTGTGCGCATGCCTATCTATAGTTATGAGGGCCAATTTTGGTTCAATGCCATGATTGTGAGGACATTTTGACTGGTCCTCACAAATTCAGAGGTCTGTTGAGGGCTCAGACTTGGTGTTAGAGTGAGGGTAGGGTTAGTTCATTTAGCTGTGATGGGTAAGGTTAGGGTAAGGGGCTGGGGAATGCATTGTGTCAATGACTGTCCTCACAACTACAGAGAGACGTGCATGTGTTTATGTGTGTGTGCCTGTGTGCATTCTTGTATTTATGTATTTGTGAGGACCATTTTGGGTGAAGACACAGAGTGAGGACATTTATTGAAAGTGAGGACATTTTGACAGGTCCTCACGTTTTCAATGGGCTGTTTGATGGTTATGATTTGGTTTTAGGTCTTAGGGTTAGATTTAGGCATTTAGTTTGGATGGTTAGGGTTAGGGTGAGGGGCTAAGGAATTCACTTTGCAAATGAGTGTCCTCACCAAGATAGATGTGAGTGTGTGTGTGTTTTGTCCTTGTGAGGCCATTTTGGTGGGTCTAACTTCAGACAGCTGTGTGAGGGTTCAGACTTGGTTTGAGGGTTAGGCTCACAGTGTGGCTAAAGTTAGGGTGCCTGGCTGGGGAATGCAGAATGTTCTCACAAGAAAGACCTACATTAAAAGCTCTAGCATGTTGGAAAATGAATATTAATGAGGTTTCAGAATTATTGTAATAAACACTACTGAATTACATGGTAAAAATGAAATATTCCTTTGGTTTGATTCATTTTTGCGTAGAAGAGTTTTTACTATAGGGGACTAGCACAAGAGCCTCTCACTCTGACACTTTCACATACAGCCTCTCTGGAGAATGTCAGGAGACTATCTGGAGTAGAGTGCAGGTCTGGAAGCAGCTACAGTGAGTCTGACCATATGTGTACATTTCCAGCATCGATGATCCAACATTAATGCTTATACTGCACACAGGTGTGTGCAGATGAGAAAGGTGCCAGGGGTTTGAACTTCACTCTTTTCTCAATACAGGTAAAACATGTTTCTGTGAGCTACCGACTGCCCTACTATGAATCACTTCAGGACAGGTTGTGTAAAGTGTGTAAGGTGAGCAGTTATCTTCATTCTCAACAGCATCACCACCTCGTCACCTCCACTTCCGGTGCCTACGTAAGAACGTAGTGTGACCTGTAGGTGTTGAAATGAAAGGGGAAGGTACAGAGGTCAGGGTGGTGCCCGGGTGTGTCGCTCCTGTCACAGACCCCCAGCTAATGCTCACTTTTGTCTTATAAGACCTTATAAGAACGTTTCATAAGCAGTTTAAAACTCCTTGTAGGGGCTTTAAATTAAGACCAAAGTCCTGATTGACTGAAGTTCACAGCCACACAGATGACCACATGAAAACTTTCTGATGAAAAAGTATTTCACACATACTGTGCATGCAGTATATACTGTATTCAAATATTTGTTCAAAAAACACAACACATTCACCCCCTGATTTATATCTACATATTCTAAAATACAGAACAGTGGATGGAACAAAAATGCGCTGCTTGCTTTAACTTGTGGAATGACACTCTTTCAAATCTGGATGTCTTAACTCGAAGTCAAGTTTATTAGATATAGCAGTCACATGCCCATATCTGCATAGAAAGAATTTTAGTTCACTGTAATTGTTTCTCCTGTCCGTACATGCCTGATCTGGGGATCCTTGGACAAGCCCTGTGCCAGAACATAAAAGAAACATCACACACTGCAGAACGATGCAGCCAATGACACTGGATCAGGAGGAAAGATCCCAACTGGGCCCCAAGATGCAAGGGACATGCACGCTGCTCTGATCAACCTGTGGTGGGCCTGCCTTAGAAGAGTGGGATGTGTGATTAAAAGGCCCAAACACCCGATGACGCAAAGTTACATAACTGAAGATCTTTCCCTGACATCCGCTGGTGGTTGGGGGATAACCTTAATATTCAACATCCTATATTCTACAAAAAAAAGAGATCCCCTCAGTGTACATTGACAGTTTTATGGTCCTCATTGGTTTGTGTTGTGTGTTAGTTCCTCACTTTGTATGTTAATGTCCTGTTTTATGTTACTTTATGTTGTGCAGCTGTTGTGAAATTTTCATTTTTTATTTACCCAGACAGAGCATTGTGGTTTTCCTGTAATTGAACCCCCCCTATCTGAGCCAACCTAATGTGCACGTTGTCTGTAGTTTGTTTGGAATCAAACTGTTTTGTGTGTTGCGGACTGCGGGTGTGGCTGTGTGTGTATATACCATTATTAGGAACGCCATACCAGCAGTGGTTAGGGTCTTCCTCTGCTCATTCTCAGTGATGTTGGAAACTTTCCTCTGCGATTCTGCTCCATGTTGACATGATAATATCACATCTCTGCAGATTGTCCCACTGCACATTGATGTGGAGGTCACCGGAGTTCACTGAACTCACTGTCATGTTCATGAAACCACTTTTGAGACGTTTACTATATCACATGGACCATTATCCTATTGTCCATCAGAAGATGATAAACTTGTGGCTATAAGAGGATGAACATGTTCAGCAACAATACTTAAATAAACTGTCACATTTAAACCACCATTGATTTATATTAAAAACCCAAGAATATTTTCTTCCCTCACACCATTAAATTACCAACTAACCTGGACTGTTGACACGAGGCAGGATGGGTCCATGCTTTGCTGCCATGCACGTGGTGATATCATATCATGAATAAGCATGTATGCAGGCATTCCTAACAAGGAGCTTAATTAGTAGATGTTTCTTTTCTAAGTGATTTTTTTATATTCATTCAAACAAAACAATTTCAGCAGTTGTTGAAACCTGGTGGACTCCGGCAGACACCTACTTCAGGGCAGACACTCTATAGGATTTAATACCATTAACGACTTTAGCAAAAAAAAACTTTCAGAAAGAAACACGTTGAGTTAAATAAACCAGTGACAGTTCCAGGCTGGTTTTTCTTACAGCTATGGTCAGGGGTGACAGATGGGAGCAATAGGCTGGTTTGATTAGGGCCAACGTCTGCTCCACACTGGTGTGAAGGGCCGGGCAACTGTTTCAGCAGGGCAGCCACACTTGGCATGTCAACGTTGTTTTGTTCAGTGGTTTGATCTGCTGAACTGACCACAGATGGCTCTTTATGGAAGCAGAGGGAGGTGAGTTTTCCGAGTCGATATAGCACGGCCTTGTGATCTCCTTTTATAACTGCCACACTGGGCTGCTCAGCTCATACTGTGAATCCAGACCTCATGCTGAGTCTGAGAACTCAGATTGTTTTTGAAACTATATTTTTAGTTTGTGATTTTATTTAGAGATCTTCTGAGCAAAAACAGTTTCAACAATTCTGATTGAATTTCCGGTTTTGCCTCATTTAAAAGTTAATTCAATATTTGCTTTATCTTAAGAGACAAGGCAGCTGAGGCTTGGCCTCCAACAGCGGTGGGTCTCTTCCAGCAGGCGGCCACTCCCCATGTGGTATCAGGGTGACATCAGGAAAACTCATCAAACTCTTGACGACATTTGTAGTTTATAATACTGCTCAGACGAGGTTGTAGTCAACAAATATATTTTTAAAATACACCTCAGTGCTGCTTTGGGTTTGTTTAGGTCTGTACCACACTCAATCATCACACAACTTGGGTAGACATTGTTTGACGTCTCTGTGATTCCATCTGGACAGAGCATTTTAGGATCCCCATATCTCTGCAACAGCTGTTGACACAGAATTGTTTTCCACACAAAAGGCAGGTCCATTTTTTTCCCATTATATGCCAAAGAAATAGATGAGGAAAAAAACCCTGCATTTCTATGAAGTTTCTGCCTCTGGAACTTTGGTTCAGTATCTCTTATAAACACTTTGTAAGTCTTTGGATGTAGAAATCAAAGAGGTATTGTACTGTCAGTGGAAACCAGGGTTATGACCGCAATTAAAGGGGTTGAAGACCACTACATTTTTTCTTTCAGGTGCAATATTTTCTTGCTTGTGTCTGGATGCACCTTGATGTTGTTTGCCATCCAGCAATAAATCAAACAAAGAAGAAGGGGAAGAAGAAGAAGAAGCACATACTTCAAGAAATGTTCACACAAAAAAAGAGAAAACAGATGAGGGTGAGAAGGAACATATACATTTGAACAAAAAAAGATAAAATACATAATCCCAAATATAAGCATAAATGACAAAGCTTATAAAATAAGAATGAACCGTCCACAAAAACAATGTGGAACAAATTTTAGTCTTCTGTTGACTCAAAGTGTGATACAAAATAAGAGCCCTTAATGTCCTGCCTCCTTGTTCTTTCATGTGTAGGGGCTTGACACTTAAATCAGTGTGTTAATGGAAACACATCACACTTCAGTTAAATCATCACAGTAAGTTCTGCTCAGCCTGTGAAAACAGTTGTACAATTCCCCCTTGGCTCTGGAGGAGTTTGGGCTTGGAGACAACATTTATCACATTGTTACAAAGTGGAGATGAGAAGTTTGCAAGATCAGACTGTTTGCCAGTCAGGGCAAGTCCAACAAAACATACTATCAGGTTATTGCTGCTTTGATTTTTTTTACTGCCAGTTAGTTTCTTTAAATCTAACCTAACTACATGCACAGTTTATCTTATATATAATCATAATCATAAAAGAACGTGACACATAATAAAGGTGTCCACAGTCAATCAAGCCAGAGATTGTTTCCTTTTTTATTCTGTTGCTCATGTGGTGAGCAGTCTGATCCTGCTTCATGGTTTGGCAGAGAAAAGCAGAGTAATGAGTGCCATCTTGTGGCTACCAGTGGAGTCTCAATATGAATCTCAAGAACAATGAGAAATCATCAAAATATACAACAAAATATTTTGACACGGTTTCTGTAGCATAAAGTGATGTAAACTGTTTAATCTTTGCTTTTCCAAACTGTGACACTTCATGCAACATGCTGCACCCAACAGCAAGAGCTACATTTCCTGTGGTTCAAAAAGAAACCAAGAATGATTTCCCCGTGACACAACAACATGATAATCACTCTTCCTTGACTGTTTTTGTAATGTCGCAAGAGTACTTGGAAAAAACCAGGGGAGTACATCTACTGGCTGAGTTTAAACACAGAAATCTTAAGCTGTTACAACAATCTTTGATGATTCATAGTCACAGCAAAAAAGCACAGCCACTGCACCACCAAGTAAAAATCATATTATTGATGCAGATAATCCTAATAATATTACCATATTATAAACAGACATGTTAATTTGGAAAATTCATATCCCATCATTTTCTGCTAATTACAACAAGAAGTCTTTTAAAGTCTAAATTTGACTATAATAAATCAAATTTAAGATCCATTCGAAGTATTGTAGATAGGAAGAATATCAGATTCCCAGAATTATTATACTTCCCCATACGCCATGAACCCAGATACATAAGTAGAGTGAGAAATTTGACATGTGTAACTTCATCAGCGAGTGATGTTTATAGGTCTGGACTCCAGCCAGAGACAAACAACAACAGACTCTCTGTTATCAGAGGCAGCTCCCGTCAAAGAGCCATAATTCACATGTTTACTATCTTTATACCTCGCTTTCAAAATTCAGAGGAGCTTCTGTACTCATTTTATTGCTGTAGTTGCTGTTTTCTTCATAGATTTCATTTCAAATACACATGAAAGCTGGTAGAACTGATCCACATTCACCAGTTATGAAATGCAGCTTATACATTTATTTAGCATTAATGATAAATAATACACTCTGTTGGCAGTTTATTAGGGAGACATATAGCCAAAACTGATGCAGTCCAATGCAGCAGTCTGGAATAAATCCTTGATGAAGTTAGTGCTGCAGGTTGAAACGAGTTCCAACAGTCGCAGGAACACTATGGTTCAATCCCAGTCTTCCTCATCTACATGCCGAAGTGTCCTTGGGCAAGATACTGAGCCCCATGATTGAACGAATGGCAATAACTGTACTGTCATCAAGACTAGAAAAGTACTAGATAAGTACGGACCATAACAAATATGGACTTATAGCAGCTGATGAAGATGGTTTTCTTGATACAACAGTCTTATCCATGATGTATGATATTTGTCATCCCCTCTCTAACTATTTCAGCTTGATTGATTGACAGAATTGGCAGATTTATTTAAACTGAGATTTTATTCCATTCCTCTTCCCCTTTTTAGAGAAATATATTTCTTAGATTTTGTTTTCTTTCTTTTTAAGTGCACAAGCGTGTTAGGGCTGTGATAGTCTTTATCAACGTGAAAATAGCCTGTAAAGAAGTTTGGATATGAATCTTAATCTAAAATATTATAAACCATAATTGGTTGAGCTCTGATATCGTTGAAGTTTACCTGTATGTGTGTTATTTGACTGATTATATGTAATTTCTAAGAAAAATGACAGACCCACTGTGTTTCAGCTCGGACAGCATACATCTACCATTTAGACTCTACCACTGTATCCATTTAAAGGCCTCCCTATCAAAATCTCTGAGATCTCTCTTTCTGTGTGTGCTGCTGTTGCAGGCCAGGGTCTCTGACAATTTAACAGACTACCACTTGCTGCTCTTCTGAAGTATTTTGCCTCAAACAGATTCAGCATCAATGCTTACTTGAGTGTTACAACAAGCCTCTAAAAAGTATTTTGATACAGCTGACAACATTCACCACTAGTTGATACATGTAGTACATGAGTACGTGTAGTGAACACTTTCACATTAAAAACTGATAAAACAGACACATCAAATAAACATATTAATTTGATTTACAGAAATACTTACCTTATCTTAATGTAGAATGCAAGCCCCGCTACATACCATAGAGAAAGCTTCTATTCTAAGGCTGGATTGTTATAAGTGTTGCTAGAGATATCAGTGGGATTTTGAATAAGGATTTCCTTGTCCTGCAGCAGAACAAAGAAGTTGTGGTTGAACTTTTTAAGTAAAAACTTTTAAAGTTAAACAGTAGCTACTAAACTATGCCAATAAACCAGTCAGGACAACCTGATAGACTCTACTACAACTCTAGAGTCCTAAAAGAGGAAAACATTTTGCACACAACACCAAAAAGTATGCCTTTCCATCCCTTTTTGTGTACTTTGTTTATTTAAATGTGTACATATGTGTATAAACTGTACTAAACATACAAATGTATGGAGTTTCAGAAATAGGAAAATTGGATGAACTGTTTCTTGGTAAGCACCTGAAATATTTCTGGCTAAACACACCACGGACCAACAGGCACCAAAGATGTATAATTAACCCCCCAATGCCCCAAAAATCCAGACCAAGTAATTTATTGCAATTTTCATATAAATAACAAAATCAGTGTAACCTGTGTGGAAATATATAAGTTTTACAACATTATCATAGTATATGATGTGCTCACATGGTGACTGTTGTGTTGTCTGACACACCAGATGTAGATGTGGGTATAATCATGTCTCATGCAGCATTTGAGCCATTTCTCATTCAAAATCCCAGTTTGGTACAAGAAACAACAGTCACCTCCCAGCCAGCAATCTATGTGATGAAATGACAGGTTTTGAAGTGGTTAATCATACTGTGTCTTCTGGTTTTTGTGTGTGGCGTTCCTTGTTCCTTGTTGGGAATTAACAATTGTAATGACACTGATCGTCTCCCCACGTGTAAATATTTCACCGAAACAAATTTTTCCTGACAATGCATATTTTGCAAGGGCACCATCGCAGCATCCTTGGCTTAGAACCAAGATGTTTGTGGTTGTTTAAGGTAATACAAACAAGCCAGACAATTTTGATGCCTCTGTGCCAGCGACAGCACGTGTCTGTCTGTACATTTGTCATGACATCTGTTCATACATCTTTCCATCTCATTCTTGTGAACGCAATATCTAAAGAACCACCTGAGGGAATTTCCTTAAAATTTGGCACAAACCTTCACTTGGACTCAAAAATGAAATAAGTAGATTCTGGTGGTCGCAGGTCACAAAGTCAAGGTCACGTGACTTAATGTTATATATCAGGAATACATAATGAAATGCCTCATCATTCACTTGGATGAACAGATTAGAATTTGATGGCTGAAAGTCAAGGTTACTGTGAACTCACTAAACACATGTTATGGACTCACTGATTAATTGATTCGAAAAAGAAAAATGTTGACGGTAACTGCAATGGTAGAGGTATGCAACCGCAGTGTGGTATTTCTGGACTCTCCTGTAAGAGCCACATTGGAGATAGTGCTGGCTATGCAAGACTAATGCTTAATTAAATCACTACAAACATGCAAAAACCTGCATGTAGTATTATTACAGAATAAGGACTGTACATGTACAAACTGTAGCCTACATGATAAGAAGTTCGAGGGGACAGGGTTCAAACACAAAAGGTGGCGGGGAAACCCTAACAGGTCATAGATCCCATTCATCTCCCTCTTACCATAAATAAACTGTTCAAGCCAATCTCCACAGACAAACAAACCAGAAGAGAGTTGATAAAAGCTAGCAGGTCACGACAAATGAAACATCAAGGCAAAGCAGCTGGGGGAAAGATCCACAGCACAGCGACTCTGCACTTCACAAAAAATGCTAAACAAATTAGAGGTGATGATGAGCACATCATTGTTTGTTTGGTTCGCTGGTCTCTTTTGACCTACAGGGCTGTCAAGTGAAATGTTGCCTCTGACAACACTAGGGAGGGCCAGACTGCCAAAACATCTCAAAGTCTCTCCCTTTACGTGTTCACAGTTCAAAACGCTGTAAGACAGCAAGGCTTATTTGAGTTAGGTTGTTTTCCAGCATCTCAAAGGAAAAAGTCACATGTTTTGTTTATTTTTCAGCCTTTAGAGCATAAAACTAATTCAACATTTTTTGGTTCCTCACATCTTCAGTTCTACTGATCATACTAAGCATGAGTCAGCAGACAGTCTTTGAGGAACAGATGTCCTCTGGTGGAGACAAGCGCCCAAAGCAGCCGCTCTTGTCCTCCTTCTCATCAACTGCATGGCCATTGCCCAGCTTGTGCTGTCCTACACCTTCGTGCTCTGTTTGACTGCTCTCTTCCTCCTCCTCTTCATTCTCACTTCTCTCATCTCCGGTCATCTGTGACAGAAGACATGGGAAGAAATAAAGTAAATGAGAGGTGAGAAGGATGGGGGAAAATGCAGGGAGAAAGGGCGTTGAGCAAATACAAAAATCATCTGGTGGATCCAGCCGCCAAATGGAAAGAGAGCAAAACTTACCTCTGAAAGCAGATCTGGAACTTGAGCTGCAGCTGAGAACAATGAGCTGGAGTTTTGAGTTGATGTCAGTCGAAATGATTTATTTACTGCTTTCTGTTTACTTCGCTCTGTGGCTGCTGACTGATGAGAATATTTTTTTGCCCCGAGCCAAAATATTATTTGGTGTTAAAAAAGTGTTTGTCTAAAATGTCTCACAACTCTGAAGCAGAAACGATAGCCACGAGTTAGCGAATGAGTCAAGCAGAACTTGTGAGGTAGTGCACATTCGTGTGTTTTGGGCATGTAGCCTTGAAGAGAGGGTGGTTTGGAGGTTGAGTAGGTTGCTCTTGCTAGCTTTCCCAAAATGACCAACCCTAGCTTTAAGATTAAGGTTAGTTCAGAAACAAACAATACTTGAGTAAGACTTAAGTGTAATCATAGTTGAAAGAAAGTCTAACTGTTGGTAGCAACCAATTACCCAACAAAACTACTTCCAATAGGTTTAGGCATGAAGCTCACACCACCAAGAGAGGTTTTTAGGGTTGGCCATTACTGATTGTCATTTCCCTGGTGTGGACAAAAGTGAACAGACCTGAAATGTTAGTAACAACAGGAATTAGGTCAACCCTGACCATTCTCATGAGGAACTTCTTATCTTAAAATGTAGTCTGTAGTTGTAGTCTGATCTGCACTCAAATAAAATTGTATCATTGTGGTGTTTGTGTGTCATTTGATGCTTAACTCACAACCATTCTGCTCAATTGGTAAGTAAACAGCTGTTGATGATAACTTTGGTTGCATAGGCTATCAAACCTATGTCATGCCTTGGCATCTATGTTCATGATATCTCCATGTCCTTACTAGATAGACCACATTGCCCAGCAAAGCCAATGAAAACAATGTGAAGGTATTGATTAATAACAGATAAGCATGACGATGATGCCGTATGTGTGTGAATGGGTGAATGGCAAAAACTGTACACACCGTTCCAAACATAAACTTCCTGATCATGCAGAGAATGAGGTAGGCCCAGAATATGTGCAGACAGAGGAGGACAACCAGCAACACGTTGAAGAAGTAGTAGCCGAAGAAGGCGGGGTAGTGGTGAAGGGGGTAAACCCAGGTACAGTGGATGAGCCTGAAACACAGTCAGACCGAAAACAAGTGAAAATCTGTATCCAGCATTGAAACCTGTGTGCTGTGTAATTTCATTGGGATGTGTGTTTTATGAGTACAAATGTTGTATTGTGTTACAATGTTACAATTTCCCCTTTGAATAATGATCAGAAAATACATTAGTAGCAACTTGACTAGAGATGGAGTTGACAGATTTACCGCAGGTGATGTTGCAGTGGTTTGCTCAGCACTAAATGCCTATAGGCCACCAGGTTACTCCAGACAAGTGTTCCTTCATATACTTTCAGATGCATATCTCTCAATTTAAAACAATAAAAATCACTATTAATACTCATTACAGGCTATTAAATGTTCATGCAGACTTGTTGGATTGGCCTGCATTTGTTTTGGCGAGACAAACCTAATAAACTGACAATGTTTTTTTTTTACAACCTTCTATTTTAAAATTCCATCGGTGAAGCAGCAATAAAACTCAATAGCAGAGATTCTCCGAAAAATCCTGCTGAGCTGAAAAGCATTTGAGTAAAAGCAGCACTGTGTTCCCAGCATTTCACAAGAACCGCAATAGTATAATCCTTACAATTTCTGCCAGTGCCCATATAAAAAGATGAAATAACTGTTCACTATTAACAATTTGAACAGCAAACCAAATACATGTCAATTTAAGTTTAATTGTCAACAATGAAAAGAAATTCAAATAATAATATAATACTTAAAGTAATATATACACATAAATACACGCACAGACACAAACACACACACACTGCACCTATCAGCTTACCAAAATGGAAAGATGATGAGCCGTGTTACCATAAACACTATGGCAAACACAACAAAAAGGCTTTGACAGGTTTTCTCCCATTTGGCATAGTTGAACAATTTGGCTGACTGTAAGAAAAAGGAGTTGTGTTGTTAATAAACATAATTTAAACTGAATAACAGCCCATTTTCTGCAGCATATCATACTCACTGGTTAGAATAAACCTTTTATGGTGTCATATGGTATAATCTAAAAGACACCAGATTACCTTTGGAGTTTAGTTTAATTTGGGCAATTTGGCCTCTTAATTCTCCAGTTAAAGGTCCAGTGTGTAAGATTTAGTTGAAAGGGAAATTTAATGTAGAATAATCCTCATGATGTTTTCACTAGTTCGTTTCATCTAAATTGTATGTATTGTAGTTTTCTTAACCCCAGAAAATGTCCTTTATATTTAAATACTTTATATTTACATCAAGGGGGTCCTCTCTAGGAGGCCGCCATGTTTTTTACATTAGTCCAGACTGGACAAACTAAACACCTTTTTCATGTTTGGAAGGAGAGGTTGTGAGGGGTGTTCAGGAGCAGCATGCAATTTCAACATATTCTACAAACTGTACCTTTAAAGCAACATTATGTGAGCGGATGGAATCAGGCCCATTGAGTTCAAAAGTAATGCTGCACTATAAATGAGTAAGAAATAAAAGTCAGATCTCATCTGTGATATTTGATGAGGAAACAATCGCTACATATTTGTGGTGGTTGTTACAGCAACAGCTGTTCTGGTTGGATAAACCAGGCATCATGTGGATTGTACACCACTGAGTTTCATTTCAGTGAGTGAGACTGCACAGTTGTAGTTCCAGTGTTTGATTGATATGCTTTGCGAACATTAATTGCTCAGACTCGAAACAGGTTTGATGAACAATTGTGCCTGTAGAGGCCGCCGTTTCTCTACAAGAAGTTACATCGTGTTACTTGAATGCGACAAATGAAATAACAAATGAAATTAGAACATTAATATCACAATCACATGCTTTTAACAAATGACGCTGTCAGACCAACATTTTCCTGAAATGTGACTCTTGAACCTGACAGTGCTAATTGTATCCCATCAAAGTAAAACCTGTGGGGTTTGGTATTCCTTTCTATACAGCACTGTTACATCCGTATGAGGTGATGGAACGAGCTGTATAAAAAACACTTGTGACTGTGACTGACCTCCAGTAAAACATCAGACGCATCATGGACAAGCATGACCAGGGTTCCAATGCGAATGTAGTTGACACACCAGGAAAAAGATAAGAGCACCAGAGTGGCTAAGTGGTGGATAATTTGCTCTTTAAAGTCCTGAAAGAGGGAAAAATAAAATCACAGCAGTCAGCCAACATGTAGAACACTGTACACTCCTACTTTCTACCTAAATCTTACCAGCATTACTTAGGGTCTACTAAGTCACCTCATCCACCTGTATGAAAAAGCTGGAATAACCAACTTTAAAAAAAAAATGTTAAACATGAATTGTCATATCACTAGAGTTGTTTTCAAGTTGTATAAATTTGTTGATGTGAAAAAATGGTGATGCACTGCAAAATACAGTTAATTACAGTTAAAAACCAGAATAACATGATGCCCCAGACTTTGACACTAATGTTGTGACGAGATAAACAACTGGACCGGTTCAGATCATCAGAGGTTCAGCCTTAGAGACAATGAATTATAGGTGGTGTTCCATCATTTCAGTGAACATGTCACTGAGGCAGGCTGAGAGTTGTACTAAAACGAATAGCAATGTTATGAAAAACCATGACAGTTGATTATTGAACCAAGGTGGCGTGACAACAGGCCCAGTGAGATGAGAACCGATGACTGGACATCTGTTCTCGCTGACATTGGGAGTAGTCAGTATGAGACCAAGACCAAATAAAATCTCTTTCTTGGACTGCTCTTTCATAAACTCATTTTTGTCATCTGTATGCATATTACAGTGTTAAATCTATAACACACTGTATGCAATGCAGACATTTTACTAATGATGTCATCATGATATCATGATGTCATTTATACCATAAGATGATGAATGATTAGTTATTCCTAATAAGCTGTAGATTGTGTCTAA